TTGATAAATCTTTATCCCTTTGGGGCTTGAGACTTTTGTGTCAAATTATTTGCCGAATTTAAAACATATGGTGATTATATATTACACAAAAATGCACAACACTTATATTTAGTCTTCATAGTAATAAATTTCACTGAACAGTTTTAAACTGATTATAACATTTGTATGATGAAAAACGACTTTATATAGCAAAATGAACGAGCAATATAAAGTTTCCGGACGTATACCAGTTGAAAAAAAAAATGAAACTCTATTTCAATCGTTTAAAATTCACTTGTATATAGTTATTTCCATGAGGTCTTCTCCTGCAAACAGAACTTGTCAGAAAATAAAAAAAATCTTATAGCAGAATTTTCAATTTGTTGAAGGAGAATGGCAAGTCGTTTTAGTATTTATTCTAACTTCAAGATATCTAATAAACTTTATAAGAAATCTCATATAGTTTATAAGATATTTTATACATGCAGTTTCTTCTTCTTTCAATACAGAGTCGGACTCCTCTTGAGCGTATAATGACTCTTGTTCGTTTAAACATGAGGCCTTTCCTCCTCCATTACCAAATCCAGCAGTAGCTATTTACAATATTTAATTACAAATTAAAACTATGTACATCTGGGATCTATGGAGTTCTAGATGCTTGAAGCTCCTGTCAAGGCCTCAGGCAGGATGGTAAGGCTGACCTTGAACTCTTCTACTGTAGCTGATCATTTGCTTTTTTCACTAGTTTTCCATTCCCTAGTTGATCTTGAAAAGAAGGAGTATATGAACCGGTCTTTTAGAGTACGCTGTTGGTGTATGCGATGACATGATCTAGTTTATAAGATATCTCATATAATTTATAAGATATCTCAAATAATTTTCTTTATAATTTAAGATGTCTTATAAATTATATGAGATATCTTATAAACTGTATGATATATCTTATAAACTATATAAGATATCTTATAAAATATATGAGATATCTTATAAATTATATAAGATATCTTATATAAAACATATCTATAATATATCTTATATAAAAAATATCTATAAGATATCTTATATAAAAAATATTTATAAGATATCTTATAATCTTATAAAGTATATTTGATATCTTATGAAGTTTATAAGATATTTTATAAAAACTAGATTATATAAGATATCTTATATATTATATTGGATATCTTGAAGTTAGAATAAATAGTAAAACGGCTTGCCATAAAGGAGGCTATTAACCGACAGAAATAGAAATCGTTTACATATTTCTATGGTAATTCAAACTGTTATAGCATGCTATTTTTTTTAAAGATTTTTGGCAATTCTATATATAAAGTGTTTTTCAACTAAAGACAAATTGATGCGCGAGTACTGCTTTGATACCCAGGAATGTTTAGTGCACTGCATTTGTCATGATTTTGTGCAGCTACATGTAGTCATGACTTTTTGAGATAATTCCCATAATTGTAATTGGTTTCTTTTAACAAATATCAACAATTTTATTAATCCATTTTCCGATCGTGCGAAACCCACGTGGATAACCAAGGTCGTTAAACACCCCGTCAGGCGATGTTGAATATTAACGCAACATAGTAAGGTTGCCATGGTTAATTTATATGCCATTGTCGTGTTTCAATTAAGTGCCCAGAAATTTAGCATGGTTTATATCAAATTTGCCAAGGTTAAAGCAACGAAGCGAGGGTTGAAAGTTGTTGCCGTATCAAATGAATAAGAGGGTTTGTTGGGACAGTATACAGGTTATGTCATAGGCCTTACATGTGTACGCCTCTAGATGTTCGGATTTTTGTGTCGTTCTTTTGCTGACTCATTAATCTATACGCACATCGTCTCTCTTTATATGCTTAACGCCTCTGTGCTATACTACCAATACTAACGCCGGTGATTTTTATTTTATTTTAGCGTTTAGGGTTTGGTTATGAAAAAGCAGCAAGTGGTCGATTTGTTGTAATTATTGCTTTTGTTTTGTATATTAAACATTGTGAGAAAAAGGGGTGGAAAATACAGAAAAAACACCGATCAAATTCACTAGTTGATGAGAATTTGACGACGCTATGGCCAACAAAAAAAAAGACGAACAAGTTGATAAAACACTACACAGAACAACACTTACACATAACAAACCGAGGGGTGATAGCAGGTGCTCTTGAAGTGTAAGCAGATCATGATCCACATGTTGCTTATGGTAAGTTAAAATTCGATGGTAAGTCTAATTCTGTGATGGCACAATCGGAGAAAAGAGGATGGATTTGTGGTTACGATAATTGGAACATATCAGTGACAACCAACTCTTGACGGCGTCTGTCAAATTTTCGAAGGAATGACTTCAACTGTACTTGGAACCCTTGGTTCTTTAGCCACCTTGTTAACAGGAACACTCTATCAAGGAAAAGCAAGCTCTGGAATATCGTATCCATTGGGAGATATATACTCTATATGCTGGCGCTGGTGAAATGTTGCTACATACAGATGGACAGTCCACCTTTATGAGGACGAAAACATTCTTTTTGTTTTAAAAATTTGTTGTTAACCGACCTGCATTGTCAACTCCTAGATGTAAGTAAAGATATGAGGCAGACTTAAAAATGTATCTGTGATATCCTATATTCCAAGTTCAATAGGATATATGCGTTCAACACAGTCACCAAACTTATAATTATTTAGTGAGAGGACATCATCTTTATAGCGGTACGGTAAGTAAAAGGATAATGTTAGCCCCTTTTTATTCTTCTTGAAAAGCTCCTGTATGAAGTCTGCTTTATATGAATAAAAAAACAAGTCGGTAAGAAAAGGAGCACAGTTGGTTCCCAAACAAATGCCGATTGTTTAATGAAAAAGACGTCCTCCAAACGTAACATATGTTTTCAATAAGAAAAAGTCATGTAACGTGATGTCTGTTTCAGATATTTTTTGTTTAGATGGGTGTTTTTTTACACAGTATGATTTCAAGATATTTGATAGTACACAAGTGGGGATATGGGAGATAGGGGATAAAACAAGTGGGGATGTGGGATCTGGGAAAAAAAGTAGGGTGAAAAAGTGAACGGAGAATATTTTTTTTTTGTATTAAACACCTAGATCTGTCTCATCGTGTCTATCTAGTACAAAGCAAGGTGCAGGGAAATTCATTTCACATAAACATGTTCTCGTCTCAATATGAATGTAATAGTTGCCACTGGACTGTTAACACAAATCATTCCATCTATCATTTGAATGTTTTACCCTAGCTAGGAGTATTGACCTTTTATTTTGATGAATTGCAATTGATTAAGTTATATAGATACAATGGATAAGCGTGGATTCTTGAAAAAGAAACCATGAGCCCGGAGGGCGAATGGTTTGTTTTTCATGAATCTACGCTTATCCATTGTATCTATAACTTAAACTATTGTGTTAATTTCTTTTCAAAATTAAAGCCTTTTCTTAATTAGAAGGTATTGTAAGTGAGTTTAAATAACCATGTTATCGTGTCCAACGATGCATTGATAAATATCAGATCACAATTAATTGGTTAACACAATACAAATATAACACTTCTACCTTTAAAGATCTTTAAATTACCAGGCATATGAATATTATCTGTTTATACAAAATATTCGAAATTATTTCTAATAAAATTGAAAATGGAAATGGGGAACGTATGAAAGAGACAACAACCCGACCAAAAAGCATATATAAAGTATATATAATAAGTATGCTATATCGAAATTTTTCTAGCACTCTAGGCACATCACGATTTTCTCGCATAGGAATTTGCGAACAAACCTTTGTAAAATTATGTAGTAAAACAGATGAAATCAAACTATATTTATAAAACAAAAATTGACAAATAGAATGTAATCATTTTTGTTTCAAACATGTGAAATAACCAATAATAATTACAAAAACGGTAAAACTCGCTATTATTACAAAAATATCCACTATAACATGCAAAATTAGAAAAAAAAACAGGATAACTTAAGAATTGGAACAACAGAGAGAATACAGGGATTCGAACCTAAACCGACAAATCCCTATCTTTAACTCATTGATTTTAACCATGCTAACCTCGCGGCTACCAACTCATACTATACGACTGCCTATTGTGTCTATATAAAGGTACAAGCCCTGTGTGTCCGATGAACCGATGTTCATTTAAATATATAAAATAGACATCTATAGTGTAACCCATTGGTAGCCGAGAGGTTTCGTCGATGTGTTGATGTCAGTCACACATAACAGATTTCAAGGAAGGGTTCGATTCCCAGTGAAGGCATATAAAAATTACAAAAATTAAAGGTAAGTTTTTAAATTAATTCCATTAGTGAACAGAAATCAGTAAATTAGCCAATTCAAACTTAATGAAATTAGTTACACAAAGGAAACAATTGAATATAATTTGGTGAGTCCATTTCAGTTGCAAATTTAGGAAGCGTTGATTCTAGAAAAAGAATCCACGGTAAATGAATAGGCTGACGTCACCACAATGGTTTAACGTAGCACAATCTTTAAACAAACTTTTTACATACAAAATTATACTAGAAGTATTGTTTATCACCATTTGTATGCAAATACAAATGGAAAGATAGCTAGCGTTCCTAGGGGAATAGGACATCCCTCGTATGTCCAAAAAGTTTTGTATTTAAGATTTTAGTACCCTTTTCTCATTTTTGTCTGTCGTATATTTTTGCGGACACCTCCGATCCCATTTCGAAAGTCCTGTATCCGCGATTGTAATTAATTGAAATACGAACTAAAATTAAATAAATCGATTCATAACTCGAACTCATACTCTAACTCTGAAATTTGGCTCGAACTCTATCTCAAACTCGAAGCATAACTCGAACTTCAAATTAAAATTATATATGGAACTTAAACTCGAACTCTTTTCAATGATGTGTTTTACGAAATAGCGGTTTGGTGTGGACAGAGACAAATGGAACAACTGCATGCAACACAAGCAGAAGGAAACACATCAACATCGATAACAAAATATGAGTTGTCTTTTCATATCTATAAACACAACGGAAAGATAAAACGACCAACTTATTATTTTATTATTTTTTCATTCCTTCCTGCTCATTGATGTTTAACTTGGCACATTAGCAAAGTTTACAAAATTTAGGACAGTATGTAGCTGCAGCAGGAGAATTCGGGGTACACAATGTTCCAGTAGCATTTAGGTCCATACAATTAATGATAACTGAATCTGTGCATGGTTTTCCAGCCGTAGTCGGTGGTGACTTGGTAAATGAGGGAGTTAAAGGAACTTGTATTGCTGGTACAGTTGTTAATTTGGTCTTTGCTGGATCTATAGTTTGAGCTACATTTGTATTACTGTCTGAAATTAGAGAGATAGACGGTGAATTAGCTTTCAAAGTATATACATATTTACTTACTTATTTCAAATGTACTTCGAAACCGAGATACGATAACGTTACCCTTCCTTATAGTTTTATAAGGAACCCTGGACCTACCCTTTTCTCTCTAGAAGTGCAACAGAGAAAATATAAAGTTTAACTATACAACATACTATGATCAGGTCCAGTAAATCAGGGGAGATGACACTGATCAAGAAACATATTTATATAATCTAAAACCATGCGAATATAATTAAGATCTTTACGACACCACAAAACATTGTGTCTATCTATAAGATTTCGAATTCGTCAACAAAAAATAGAAAAAGAAACTGAAACAAAATAAGAATGGTCCTATCCACCACATGCACAAAGAATACCAAATTGCAAAATGGCCCCCTACCTAACCATTCAAAGCGATACCATAACATAAAATATATAAATGGAGCAAACGAAGAACCATAAGTAGATCTCCAAGTAATTACAAAAAACAGACATCAAACAAGCAATAAAAACCAAGCAAGCAGATTCAGATAATGTTCCACCGAATATCCTTACAGGATATACAGTTGAGATTTATTTATCAAGTCCCTCGGTTGGGATCACTCCGAAGTAAGTACTACTTGTAGATTTATTTATTAAGTAATTTCCAAGTTCTAATGTAGTTTATAAAGAAGAAACACTAACCTGTGCATAAATATTTGTTACAATTTGCGCTCTGACAACACTGATTGCACAACTGTGTACTTCTTTGATGCGGCACTAACTGATCAAGTAGTTCACATCTCTGGAAATATATTCTGATGTTACCATATTATCATAAACTTTCTATACAAGTAAGACAACAAAAGGGATACTTCATTTGATAAACACAATGAAGAACTTATACTCGAGGAAAGTATTCAATTATTTCGTTAAAAAGCCCTGCTTTATCTTTTATTTTCCTTTACTTCTTCTTAGTGAAATTTTGAAATTAAACTAAACTGTTATTGAACATAATGATGCACAAGGGTCGGTATAATTTGTCAATGTAAATATCTATGTACCATATTAAAAATTTAAAGGAATGTGTCAAGGACACTAAGGTACATCAGGTACCACTATTTAAAGATGATGATGTATGGCTGTTTAACGCCCAGTTGCAAATTAAAAACATATTCAGACAAGAACCGTTAATGTTATATGAATATTAATCTTGCTTTATATTAGACCGACACGCTGAGCCGGATTTTTAACGTGTTAGTTCACAAGGTAACAGTCAGTAGGAAGACATGTCACCCTACTCGGACACATTATTCTAACTCCGAGCCAACCAGTCTTTGCTCTTACTCAGCAAATACCAATTTTAAAGTCTTTGATTTGACCGGGCCTCGTTTTCTCTATTCTTTATTTTCCATGCCCATTTTTCTGCAGTATTGGCCCATTATTCTCTATTCTGTTAAACCCATCATAACCCTCTTACAAAAACGACATTCATTTCTTAAAAGTTGATAAATTGAGCAGTATCATTTATTGGACAGGGAATTGCCTTTCGTACTATAATATTAAGATATTTAGTCATATTAGTTGTATAATTGTTTCCCACTTCTACTTCCGCAGAAATAGCACTATATAAGCGAGGACTCACTTGTAGTCAGATATGGTGAATCAAAATACTGTTAAATTGTTAACTTAGAAACTTGCATATGCCCACTGGCAACACACGGCAGATGAAACACTAGGCTTTTGAAAGGGAAAAAAAGCAAAAGTTTGATTACAAACCTTTGTCTTTTCACATCCCAAACTGTATCTTCTTTCAAGCTTGGCATTCACAAATTCTTGTGTAAAACACATCTGTTAAAATGACATTAGCATATCTTCAATTGAGTAAAAGGTTGATTTCATGGTGACTTAGCGGTAAATAAGACCAAGAAATCGTAAACTGCATATCACAGTATTTTGTAAGATTTTGCACACAGTTTGGTAATGATGAACCTTCACTTAAAAAGTTAAAATCGAAAAAAAACTTTTACAAACGTTTCGTTGATAAATTTTGATCCCAATACTTCCAACCGAATCCTTAGATTTTTCTTTAAAACTAATGTGTTGCTGGCAAATAAATATGCAATATATAAAACAACATAAAATAAAACAGATGATCAATTATTAGACTCTCTGTTCAACACATGCAAAATCTGAATCATAACAGATTGCTTTAACTTGTTAACAACTGTGCATAAATCGAAGTTCATCACATCTCGTTTTTTGTAATATCAATTAAAAAAATCGAAAACTTTTGGCGTGTTATAGTCCACTTGGATGGAGAGTTGTCTCATTGGCACTCATACCACATCTTCTTATATCTATTTCATGTTGATCTGGTTCTTGTAAAGAAAGTGAGGTTTTATTCAAATTAGATTGATCGATAAAAGCAAAATTCAACAAAGCAAATTACGTATGTATACACTTTTAAGAGTTACAAACTTAAGATTTGTAAAAAAAAGAAAAGAATACCTCATCCATTGCACATTCACCCAAAGTTTTACATTCTAGAGGGCTAGCGACATCTGGACAACGTAAGCAGTTATGCGTAGGGGTACCTGAAAAGAGAAGATAAGCAACAGAAACGACTTTAAGTGTTTTGGTCACTGTAAGGCCTTCAAACAATGAGCAAAACCCATATCGCATAGTAAGCTATAACATTCCTCGAAATGACAATGTAAAACAATTCAAAAGACAAAATTAACGACATGATTTATGAACAAAGCAATAAACGAAAAACAGGTATGATACACAGCAACAACAAACAAAACCATATTTCAGGGATTACTTTCTTTGTTTTCCTTTCTTTTTTCCCCTAAACAATCTATTCATGGGATAGCAAAAACAGCGATTTTTCCAACGGGGTGTGACGATTTTTTTTAAATTGATGTGTTGACTGAGTCAAATAATTAAAAAAAAACGAACAATCACTCTTGTATGGTTATATATTACCAATGTGTTTTCAACTGATCGGGCGGAGCTTACATTTCAATTTGCATAATGACAGTCTATTTGAAGATGCGTGTGATAAGGATGATTGCCGTTATAATTATAACTGATTTCTAATCACCTATCAGCGTCACCAAAACATTATTGAATAACGATAATGCAGATTTTGCAACTGTTGTCGTTATAGTTTTACTTTCATATCCACAAATTCCAATATGTGACAATTTTTACATGTTTTTAAATTCCGCTTTACAAGAAAATCAACGGCTGTGTCTCATTATTTATTTTGCGAATACACATTATAGTGTTCACATATTTTAACCGGATCAATGACCATAGCTGGACACTTTATTGATGAGTTTATCCCAAAACACCTGTCCATAGATGGACTGGTCTATAATGAGCGAACGGGTTAAACTCCGCCCAGTCAAGTGAAATAAATCAAGTAATATATAGGCTTTAGACTTACCCTGTGGGTGTGTACACGACACGTTGTTACATTTGTCCGTATCACAACATTTCTCACAAACATGTAATTGTCCACTTCTCTTCCCAAAACCTTCTTGGACTGCTACTTTACACAGCTATAAATATAATTGATTGATTGGTGTTTTCACGCCACTTTCAAGATCTTTCAACACTAGTGTGCTATTTCGTGGCGGTCTATAAATAGATAAAGACCAGTTAAATTGGTTGGATACAGATACTGTGTCCATGTTGCAAGGTTAAGTCAAACGTATACACAGATAGGATATATAGTCTTCGATCGGATTTTAGACTAATATGTAGAACTATTTCATGTAAAAAAGCCAAGCCCATTGGAAGTACCTGGTACTACAGGATTAAAAAGATTAAACAGATCATGTCCGTGTTTAATTTTTCAAGCTCTGAGTGTGGCAGACAGCTTTATTCGTGTATATTTTACACTAGCTTGTTCAATTCAAATCAATTAACACAATACATATATAATACAACGTCTAGTTGACAAAATTACAGTATATTATTCAAAATAAATAGCGTTCTTTTATTATTCAGTACACACACAATAAAAATTACCATGTGAAAATCAGTCTAGAATCGTAGTTTTTACTTTATACAAATAAATAAAAATACAAACATTCAATTCATGTAAGTATAACGTTATGCATGACCTATTTGCCACTGGACTGAAATTAACACCAAACCATCCGATCAATCAATAAAGTACGTTTTTTTTCTGTTTTTCCATTCCGTTCGAATTTTCATATTTTATTTTGTGTGTGTTCCTTGAGTTTATGAAATGCAAACATACTAGATCAAGATATATAAAAGAGAAAACAAAGATGAAACCATTTTAATGCAATATTTATACTGACCTGGCTAGATTTACACCCAACGTTATAAAATACGTTTAAATTATCATCGATCACTTGTTCTGTATAGCAATGCTAGAGGGGAAAACATGAATAAGATGTATATAGTAGTACTTAGTCTAGTCTAAAACACCAAACTGTAAAAGATCGCTTGTCACGAGGCATAGTTCTGCACACGAACCACACAAACCGGTTACATCAAGCATACTCAATGATTGAACACATGAACCGCACACAACGGTTACATCAAGCATACTCAATGATTGAAGTGGTTACATCCACTCATACTCTATGATTCTCCGCACTTGGACCACATACACTGGTTATATCCCTCATACTCAATGATTCTGTACATGAACCACACAAACCGGTTACATCCCTCATACTCAATGATTGAACACATGAACCACCAAAATCGGTTTCATCCCTCATACTCAATGCATGATTGAACACACGCACCACACAAACCGGTTACATCAAGCATACTCAATGATTGAACACATGAACCACACAAACTGATTACATCCACTCATACTCAATGATTGATCATTGCACACACGAACCATACAAACTGGTTACATCCACTCATACTCAATGATTGAACACATGAACCACCAAAATCGGTTTCATCCCTCATACTCAATGCATGATTGAACACACGAAACACACAAACTGGTTACATCCCTCATACTCAATGATTGAACACATGAACCACCAAAATCGGTTTCATCCCTCATACTCAATGCATAATTGAACACACGAACCACACAAACCGGTTACATCAAGCATACTCAATGATTGAACACATGAACCACACAAACTGGTTACATCAAGCATACTCAATGACTGAACACATGAACCACACAAACTGGTTACATTCACTCATACTCAATGATTGAACACATGAACCACCAAAATCGGTTTCATCCCTCATACTCAATGCATGATTGAACACATGAACCACACAAACTGGTTACATCCACTCATACTCAATGATTGAACACATGAACCACATAAACTGGTTACATCCACTCATACTCAATGATTGAACACATGAACCTTACAAACTGGTTACATCCACTCATACTCAATGATTGAACACATGAACCACACAAACTGGTTACATCCACTCATACTCAAAGATTCTGCGCACTTGAACCACACACACTGGTTACATCCCTCATACTCAATGATTCTGTACATGAACCACACAAACCGGTTACATTAAGCATGCTCAATGATTGAACACATGAACCACACAAACCAGTTTCATCCTCGTACTCAATGATTGAACACATGAACCACAAAAATCGGTTTCATCTTTCATACTCAATGCATGATTGAACACATGAACCACACAAACCGGTTTCCGATTCCTCATACTCAATGATTGAACACATGAACCACACAAACCAGTAACTACACTCATACTCAATGATTGGACAGAGTAGTATAATTATAACCTAAATCAGTAAGTCTATTAAGTTAAAAAAAAAAGATTTGCCTGACAGTTCTTATACTTTTAGCTTTATAGATTGTATAATTGTAAAAGCTGCACGTGAAATACAATTTTAGATGAACAATGCCTGTCATATTTGTGTTTCATTCACGGTTTTGTCATTCATGAGGATTTGGTTTTTCACGTTTGATTTGTTTCACATTGTGTCATGTTGGTGTCTTTTATACCATTTTAGATGCATTACTATATACGGTATGTACGAGACTTTGCTTATTGTTGAAGGCCGTACGCTGACTTTTATCTGCTTACTGCCACGTTATTTGGACTATGTCTAATTGACCTGTACACCATATATCCGTTTATCCATCTGTCCCTATGAAACATATCCTCATTTTCAGTGGAAGTCCAAATTTCCCTCATTTTATATATGTCGACCTACCTTGCAGAACCGCTTATGTATTTATTGTTTATTTATTCTCCTGAATATGAACGAAATATTTGCCACTGGACGGTAAACAAGCAAGCAACAATCAATCAATACTTTGATCCATTAGAAAACTATATTTTATTGTTATTTGTACACACTTAAATAGATATAACTGATTCCAGTGTTTACAAAACATCAAAGACTACGTACCTCTCCTGCTACACATTGAATGGTCTGGATACAGTACTTTGGTTCAAAAACTCCTTGACATGAAAGACATCTCAAACCTTAACATATAGAAAGATAAATCATGAACAACTACAAAAACACAACACCTTCGTTAATTTATATATAACTTAAAATCAAATGATCATATTTTTAACACTAATAGGATTGGAGAGAAATGTTGACACATCCAGAGGCGGATCCAGGGAATGTCGACGGGTGCACGTGACACCCCCTCCCTCCCTATGGTTGGCAAAAAAAATATCATATTAACATTAAGAAAAGAAAATATTGTGAATTTGAACAAAACCTTAAAATCAATTTCAAATCTATTTTTTTTAACTTAGATAGAAAAACAATTGGGAATGAATATAAAGAAAATTTAAGACAACTAGTCCCTAAAAAAGACAGAACGAAGAAAAAAAAAGGTTCTCCCAATTTTTACTTCTGATTTTAACCCATTTCACATTGTGTAAAATGTTAAATCGTCTACCTTAATTTGTTACCCTTTCAGAGAAAAACTGGCGTTGGTTATCAATAAATTTGTCTTCATTGGCATTATATGAATTTCCAATAAAAATTTCAATTTTTTCAATTTGACAAATAATACGTGAAATATGAAAATGACAGACTTTTTTTCTTCTTCCTGGTACGGGAAAGACTCCGATGCCGGAGTGTGGAATATCCCGGAACTGTGGCGCTATGTACATGCAAATGGATGTCGAAAATTTTGTTATAAGATAAAAATATTTGCCACAGTTCAATTACAATTTAAAATAACATTAGTTGTAGCTTAATGTTAAACATATTCACATTATGTACAGTGGCTTAAATACACTAATTAATTAGCCAGACTAGAACCTCCAAATGTTAAGGTGGAGATACCACCTTTGAAGGATTCTAGGGAGGGTGACATGCAAATTGTTTCTGGGAGATCGTTCCAGACAGCAATAGTACTTGGGAAAAAAGATGATTTAAAAAAGTCTTTATTTGTATATATATGTCGAAATTTATGTAGGCCTCTAGTTCGCCTGTCAGATTGTGTCAGGACGTCATTAGTGACTTCGACCAACCCCCCATTAATCTTATAAATCAAGACAAGTTTAGCTTTTGTTCTACGGGATTGCAAGTTTTCCCATTTTAGTTTGTTTAACATACCAGTGACAGCACCTGGTGATCTATCGTTATAGTCATTAAAAACATATCTTGCTGCCTTACGCTGTATCTGCTCAATTTGGTTTATTTGGCTTTGTTTGTATGGATCCCAAACTGGTGAGGAGTACTCGACGGTCGGACGCACAAGTGATGTGTACGTAAGGTTTTTAACTTTACGTGTACAATTTTTCATGTTTCTACGTAAAAATCCTAGTGTTTTATTTGCCTTTGAAGTTATATTATTAATATGGGGCCCCCAATCAAGATCATTGCTTATAGTAACTCCTAGATACTTGCTGTCTTTGACAGATTCAAGTACATGGTTATGTAATTTATATTGAAATAAATTAGTTTTCGACTTTTTAGAAATATTTATGACATAGCATTTTTCAGGATTAAATTTCATTTGCCATTCAGATTCCCAATTTTCAAGGCTTGATAAATTTTTTTGGAGTGCTTGAGACTCATTTGTATTATTTGATGTTTCATAAAGTAAACAGTCGTCAGCAAAAAGACGAACCTTACAGGAGACATGCTCGGGTAGGTCGTTTATGAATAACAAAAATAAAGTTGGGCCTAATACTGTGCCCTGAGGAACACCAGAGTCAACAGCTAATTTGGAAGATTGAACACCGTTAAGCAGGACTTGCTGTTGCCTGTTTGTCAAAAAATCTTTTATCCAAAGTAAGTTATTTTCACGTATACCATAATAATTAAGCTTTGTTATTAACCTTTCATGGGGGACCTTATCAAAAGCTTTGGAAAAATCTAAAAGTATTGCATCAACTTGATTACCTTCTGCTAAATATTTGGCTATGTCCTGGATGCTGATAACAAGTTGTGCTTCACAGGAACGTTTACTCCTAAAGCCATGTTGGCAATCATTTAAAATATTATTTAAATCTAAATATTTTCTAATGTTACTTGTTAAGACGTGTTCTAAAACCTTACAACATATAGCCGTTAAAGAAACCGGTCTATAGTTAATTGCATTATGCTTATCTCCCTTTTTAAAAATTGGCACAACATTTGCCTGTTTCCACTCTTCTGGGATTTTTCCATCATTTATGGATTTTTGAAAAAAGAATACAAGGAAGGGGGATATCTCTTCTGAGAGTTTATTAAGGAAAATAGCAGGGATATTATCAGGCCCACTAGCTTTATGGGTCTGCAAAACGCTGGTGCCACTCTTGTGTTGCTTAGTATATATGTATGCATACATGCATTTTATTCGAAAAATTACGGGCTCTCGAAAAGACTAACGGGAATAATAATCAAGTATGGCCTTTTTACGGAGGATATGTAATGATTATGTGCATTACCAATAATGGAATGGTCTATTTCAATTGTTTATCGTGACTTACACAACAGACGCACCGCACTAACTTACCAATTGTTTCGGGGTATACAGCCGCTGTAAAAAAATCCATTCTATCATTATATTATACAGACAAATTCAAAACATAATAAACAAACAATTGAAAGTCTACAGAACAAATATGGTAATAGCATAAAATAAATGTAATGTAAGAAGGGGTGACTATTATATCAATTTTTTTTTCTTTTCAGGAACTGTAAGTATACTTTGATATAGCTTTATTGTTCTTTTACCATTGTTTCTGTCGTTATATAATACTGATATTATAAAAAGTTAATTGGACCCCAAGGGTTGACTTGTGGTATAGAAATATGGTAATCTCTTGGTCTTCTTCCGACCGGTAGTAAAACCCTTGCCAAAGTGGCACGTTCGTTTGACTGTGTGGTGTTTATAAATTTGCATCCAGGTCCGGTCAGAATGAGGGCTTTAAACTCGATACCTCCTGTAGAAAGAGTAACATGCTCTCTGCATGTTAATGACTATTGGAACAACTCTTTAAGTGGTCCGTTTATGTATGTGGTCTGTTGCATGGCAACCATTCTGTCCTTATCCAATAAACCCTCATTTTCAGTGGCATTCCAAATGTTCCGCATATCATCAGGGTGGACTCTATATTGCAGGACCTACCTATTGTATTTACTCGTCCAGAACATACATGAACTATTGCCACTATGCGTTAAGCAAACAACAATCAATCAATCAATAGAGTTAATGCTTTTTCAGTTCTGACTTTTATTGTGTACTTTTACGGAACCTTCTGTTATTCAACTCATCGAAATAAAAAGGGGTAGAGTTGGGTAACAATAAACTCGTTTTATGGTTCTGGTCCTGTCTTGTCTTGTAGTATACAAATTACGTTAACTATACATGTATAAGATGTGTATATATGAACAGTTGATATTTATTGGTCGTTGCTTTCCTATCAGTTTTACTTTCATTGTGTAAATGCGTTATCAAATCATTCTGTAGTCTTTTTATACCACCGTAAAGTTTACCATAAAGAAAAATGATTGGAATAATCGATTTCGACGGTATACTGACCTCTAAAAGTTTGTTTTATGCGTGTGCGTTGTTAATCGACATGATGCCCAGGTATTTAAAATTTTCAATCTATGAGAAATTAGGGACGAGAAAACTAAACCAGTGTCAGGAGTGAAAACTGACTCATTATATGACTAACTTAAGTGTACATTCTAATTTAGAATGATATACTCAGAGTAGTATTTATTCATTTGTATGTGTGTTTATCTATTTCGTATGTTTTGTTTATTTTGTTAGGTAACTAAACATAAGAAAGTCACTTACCGAGAAAGAGAAGCACGTATTTCAATTCCATGTCTTTGAATGAAAGTGATAAGAGAGGTTTAACCAGGACAATACTATCTGCATAATACTTATTCAAGAAGAAATGTCAGGCCAAGTTTGTTCCACGACCAAATACCTGGGCATATCATCTCCCAATATAAGAAAACAAATATTTGTAAGACTAATCATGACTTTTGATTGAAAATAATTAAATTCAGTGTAAAGTAATATGAACATTGGCGGATCCAGGCGGGTGTATGTTCCGGGGGTTGGAACCCCCTTTTTATTTTTATTTTAATTATGTGACCGTTTCATAGTGTTCCAGGGGTTAGACCCCCTTTCAAAATGGCTGGATCAGCACCTGTATGAATGAGGGAATAAATTAACAAAAATGACGGTCTTCTTATTAAGGACATAGGCATAAGTAAATTAGTACTAACTTTTTTCGATAACTTATCTTTAACAATCTTGAAATTTCGACTTTTAAAATATTGAAATTTTTACTTTTGAAAAACTCTAAATTTCAGCTTTTTAAATTCGAAATTTTGTTTATGTTTAAGTTAAAAAAAATACACACTGAGGAGGTGTGGGCATACCGTCAATGAGACAGCAACATAAGTTAACGACACATAAACCTACCAAAAAGACGTATTGTGATCAGTTTACAGCCTACACATATAGACAAGGTCTATATAACATCTCAGGGTTTTTTTTTTAATCGTGGAGTCGAGAGAAGTTGTAAATAGATTTAACGGAGACAATCAAAGATTTGCCATCAACACTAAATCTCTTACGGACAAAAACATTGATATATGCCTCCGGACAACCACTGATGATGTTCCTGATTTGAATAGAACACAGGAACATGAACATAACGCGAGATTAATATGGTTTTTGAGTATTCAGTTTTCTACCTTTAAAACCCGATCACGGTGAACAAAATTCGGGTGAATAGAAGAAAGTAAAATAAATGCATCACAGAATAAAATGCCTTGGACAAGTACAGATAAAAAAATAACAATGATACCGTATCAAAATTTTTTAGCAGTGTTATCGAAATCACGTCGTCTGTCCTTTAATGTCTAGTATATATAGGCGGCTCAGTGCACTTCATAGTATATTTCATACAGCACTGTCATAAACAGTATAGGAAGACATGATTTTTGGTATTGCTTACAGTAAATGTACAAAATAGTGTAAAAGTAGTCTCAATTTCAATATCGAAAATAAAAGAAACGTTTTAGTTTTGTTTCAAACTATATCATTAGTCCCCTAAAATATCAGAAGCAATGGTTCAACAGTATCCTCTATTAACAAGTTAGTTAATCCAAATGGACAGACTTGAAGGAAATTGCTCAAACTTCTAAGCTTTCAATATATAAAATGAGTATTGCTGTGTCAAAAGCTGGATTTGAAATACCACGTTATACCCATTAATTCGAGGGAGGCAACAGTGTACGTGTAATAAAATGGCTCCCTCCATACATGAAAACGAATATGAATTATTTGTTAAATCCAATTAAGGATTTGTTACCTAGTGTGATTTTCCTCCTTCTCGGAATTTATTATTTTTACCTCAGTAAAAGTCTATTTTTACTTAAGTAAAACTATTGTCAACCGTCTTAAGTCAGATAGGAGGGGTCTTAATCTAAATTGATATAAATTTTGAATAACTTGTCAACATGTAGTTTATGTCATGTTTTTTTCCAAAAATTAATTAAAATTATGGGTTGATGGGGCTTTTTTTTTCAAGCTACAGGTTGTACAAAATTGCCAGATTTTGTATAGATAATACATAGAAACCCCAATTTTGTGTGATATAGAGAAAACTAAACGATAGAATTTTAAGATACAATATGAGAAGATAGTGGTTTCAGGAAATAATAACAAAACCACATTCCTTTATAAAATATACACTCTCTGAGTTATCTCCCCTTATATGGCAAAGATGAAAAAAACAACGAATCAAATAAAAAAAAAAAAGAATCTGTATTTGTTAAAACAATAAAAAAATAAGATAAAACAAATTATTTTTTTATCAAGAGGAAAAATCTTACAAATGAAATACATTCCTCTCTTAAAATTTGCACATTTCATTAAAGACCGATATTGTTTTTTGCTATTTTACAATCAAAGATGGCGGAAGACACCAGATCTACCTTTAAATACGATTTTTGTCTGCGTTTAATATTTCTATGAGACAACTCTCTGCTTTACCCGGCAAAATTACATTTTAACATTATAGTACCTTGGTTCCTACAAAAAAATAATATTCCGGATATATACATCTCCAATTCCGATTTTGTGCAAACTATACATAAAATTTAGCCAATGAAATCGTTCGACACATACGCTTAGCAACACGACGCCATCAACTGCAGCATAATATTGTTTATTCGAAAATCTGTTTTATTTAAAAAGTGTCCGTTATGGATCAAACAAAAAGACCCCTTCTTATTCCCCCAGAGTTCGGAACATATGCCGAGAAACATGGAATATTCGATTTATATAAGGTTTGAATATAAAACGTAGATTTCTTATTATGTTTCGACAGTGCAAGGATTTGTATAATATACAAAACCTTGGACAGTGTAAACTAGTATATATCTTCTTCTTCTTCTGGTTAAGTGCAGGACTCATTTTGAGTAAATTCACACTGAAAATCATGTATATGATTAATATGTGTCACTGCAATGCTAAATTGTAATTTACTAGTACAATCAAGGATTTGTATAGTGACTATACTATACAAATCCTTGGTACAATGTATCCTCGTCTCATGGGTTTTCGTACTATTAAGTATGCATTTTGATGTAACAATTTCCATTGAAAAAACATTCAAAGTACGAATTCATATGACGTACGAAAACATATGATCTGACCATATATTTGGTCTTTTGGATCAGCTTCATCAAGACTGGACTTAACAATTGAATTGTCACACTACATATCTTTTCACTTAAACTATTCAGTAAGAAAGATATGGGATGAACATCAATGAGACAACAACCAATCAAAGAGAAATATATGCCGCCCCTCTTGAATGTGCAGAAAAAGGTCAATCCAGAAGGTTTTCATGTTGATCAGGCTTAAGTCGATCTGTCCCAAGTCGATCCTGCCCCAATTTAAAAATATTTGAATAGATTAATGTATATGAATTTTATAATAATATAAAAGGTGGACAGTAAAAAAGTGTACCTTTGACGAATATTTAAATAGGCTATCTAATTTTCATTAGATGAGACATTTATTGGAATATTTTTTTGAATATGTCAAATATTTATATAATTAAGATTTCATAAAATCTGAAAAAAAATAATGCATTTCTTTAACTCAAATATTACTGTTTGAATTCTTTCAAAATAGGAAAACATTTGTATAGAAAGCAAATAAAATAGTGAAAAATGTTCTTAAATTTGTCTTTTTAAAAATCATCAAATCTCAAATTCATAAATTTTTCTTAAAAAGCAATATGCTGTTGAGCTTTAATTATTTAAAATAATATGGTCACCGACTTCGTATTTGCCGTATACATCATTCAAAGTGGTATTCTAGGTGAAAAAATACTACAAAACGTAAAAATAAGAAAAATCTATTTGAAAGTTGATATTTGACGATTTTATGACAAATTAAAGGAAAATTTTCCCCGATTTTATGTACGTTCTTTACAAATGTTCATCTACTTTGAAAGAATTCAATAAGTATTATTTCAGTCATTAAAAGTGATAATTGCATAATTATTTGATTTTCAGTTATAGTTCAACATGCCAAAGTTGTATGCCAAATTTTACCAAAATCTGGGACATAGCCCATTTACTGTTCCTTGACCCTTTAATGAGTATGGATGATTATTCAATATAAAATGTTGATTATGTTTTTATTACAAGTTTTCAAGACTATTGTGTCATGTGTGTGCATAATTTTAATAAAAACATATATAACAGAATTTAGTACCAACAACAATAATCAGCAGTAATTAACGTTTTTCAATGGACTGTGATTGAACTAAAAGATTACGACTGGTGTTACTTTGGTTCCCGATCCCCAAATAATTGTTGAATACACAAACCAATTACAAACAGTGATTAGTTTTAAACAAGTCATTATGATGATAACATAATTAGATTGTAAATATTTTTCCAAGTTATCATGGAAAATAACTTCATATTTACATGCTCATGCAGCAGCTTTAAAAGCAGTACCAATCGCACTAAATAATTCAAAATTTGGTGACTATGTTGAACACATCTATCCCATTGAACTTGAGATAAAGGATACAACAGATACAGTTAAGTCTGCCTCATATCTTGACTTACATCTAGAAATTAACAATGAGGGTCAGTTAAAAACAAAACTTTACGACAAAAGAGATGATTTCAGCTTCCCAATTGTGAACTTTCCATTTCTATATAGCAACATTCCAGCAGCGCCTGCATACAGAGTATATATCTCCCAGTTGATATGATATTCCAAGGCTTGTTTTTCCTATCATGATTTCCTTGATAGAGGATTGCTGCTCACAAGGAAGCTATTTAACCAAGAGTTCCAAGTGGTGAAGTTGAAATCATCCCTTCGTAAATTTTACGGACGCCATCAGGAGTTGGTTGACCGCTATGGAATTTCCATTTCACAGATGATAGCTGATGTGCCACATGTGGAGCAGGATCTGCTTACCTTTCCAGAACACTTGAGATGACCCCCCGTTTTTGGCGGGGTTTGTGTTGCTCAGTCTTTAGTTTTCTATGTTGTGTTTTGTGTATTATTGTTTGTCTGTTGGTCTTTTTCTTTTTTATCCATGGCGTTGTCAGTTTATTTTCGACTTATGAGTTTGAATGTTCCTTTGTTATCTTTTGCCTCTGTTATACTCCTTTTCGTATCGATTTAAAATAAATCATCTGAATGTTCCTCCAATATTAGACATACTTCTCTTACCTGCTGTCATTAAACATCGATACTTTGTGCAAATTCAATTTACCCTGAAACAAAGATATCACCAAATCCTCCGATGTTAACATAAATTATTCATTATTTTCTTATGGGGTAGGATCAACATGGGACGAAACGACTTGGGGGCCGGAACAACCTGATACCGTTCAGAAGAAGCTTTAATCTCTAGAATACTGGTAAAATGTCAATAATGGGCAAAAAACCCACAGGTTCCAATGGCAATGTACAAGTAAAAATTTGTAACAAAGTCTGTCACAGTTACTGACAGAAGCTCAAAGTACTTATAATAAACTGCTGATATAGAAATCGAGCTGCATTTTACTCTAATACCATGATCAGTAGTAGATTTCATAAAGCAAAGCCATGGACTGTTCATGTAGGCAATTTATATCATATTCAAGTAAAGCTGTCATGGTCATAATAACTAAATAATTGAATACATTTGTAAAGTTTAAATAAATAATATTCAGTTTATTCCTTAATAATTTAGTTAATTATACTTTCAGAGACTAATGGAACAGTTATTAATCAACAAACCCTCAGATCCACTAGCATTTCTGGTGGAATTACTAAAGAGGGACAACAATGATGGTATGGATTGTTTAATTTATGAGTTACTGGCACTTACAGTAGTGGTTTTACTGCTTCACTTAAATTTGCTGTCACATAAATTCTTGTTTATTCAGATGTGGAAATTAGTCCAAAATATGACTTCTTGGGTAAAAAAAAACCTGGTACATTGTACATTCAGAATTTCTTTTGTTTGTTTTCATCTTTATTATGTGCTACCCACATTTTTTTAATTCACATTAATTACATTTCATTTAAACCAAAGTGATTTCAAAATGTTCAAGATCGAGGCTTCCTTACCAGTTTTTTTTAACAATAAAAGGAATTTATAAAATATATTTGAATAATAATCAAATGAACATTAAAAAATCAGTTTTAAGTTAAGAATTACTAGCTTAGACCTGTTGTAAATTCAGAATATGCCTCATTCATTTACTAATGTAACTCCTCAGCATTGGAAAAAATTCAAAATTCCTATCAATTTTGTAAAAAAATGGTGTAACTTGAAATCAAACTTAGGTTGTAATTATTGTGATGTTCATTGTGTCACATTTTTGCCTTAAAACTAATTTCTAAATTTACAGTCCAGTCTTTTAATATAGAAATTATTTTATGTAGCTACATTTGTGTAATTAGAAAAGCTTTTAAAAAAAATAGTTTTGTTTTGTACTTTCAGTTCCTCAAGTCATAATCCTAGGACCGCCAGCCTCTGGTAAAAAGACAATAGCCAAACTTTGTTCCAATAAACTAAGAACTGCACATCTTACAGAAGACAATATGGTCGCTGAAGCTGAAACAGACACCAAAGTTAAGGTGCAGGAGATGATGAAAAAGAAACAGGTATTGTATTACAGACCGGCTGTTTATGAAGGAGTGTACATACAAATGAAACAACAACCCAACTACAAAAAAAAGATATCTATAAAGTTCAACTGTATTTAGTCATATAAAAGTGTCTATAACAGATACATGTATGTCAAACTACAAATTTCCATGTGTGTAAACAAATTTTGAATAAATTTAAGGGGCTGCTGTCAGTGCCAACTACCTGAAAGGACAAACAGTAACACTGAGAAGTAAACAAAGACAACCACTTAGTCTATTATTTATATGTACATGTATCAGGATTGACTTGGGACAGACATATTGTATGTAAACCATTTTACTTCAGACATCAAATATATATTCTCTTTACCTGATTACTATAAACCACTTTATTTTTTATTTTCACAGATACTCATTCGGTGTTTAGCCTTTTCTATCTGATTTTGCAATTATTTATGTCCACAATTTTTTTTACCTTTAATAATGTATTTATATTTTCTGAACGTTGTTTTCAATTTAGACTTGTTTATATTTTTATATATATACATGTATTAGAAGATCCAAATTTTGTCTATATTGATGTTTATTTTCTACTCACTTAAGTTGCATAAATAAATTACTCATGAAAATGAGTTGGTTACAGTATAAGTAACTGTTCAGCTTTTGGACTGTTTGTATTGATGTACCATTGAATAACACTGTCTTTACATCATTTGTTTGAGTTTTAAAGACTCTTGTCATATTAAATATATAGTTCTCAACATCATTCTTCAAGGATTAAACACATAAGTATCTCAGTTCATGGCACTTCATGAAAATTATTTTTCATTGAAATATTTGATAGGAATATTTTAAATTCTATAATCTTTAGTAATAGTAAATTAATGAATCATAAACAGTTAAAAACTTTACCCCCATAATACTTAATATTCTATTTACAGACTGTTCCAACAGATGTATGGGTCAAGATATTAACTGACAGAATGAAACTGGCTGACTGTATTAAGAAAGGCTGGGTCATGGAAGGTTTTCCGCAGACAAGAGAACAAGCTTTAGCATTGCAAACTGCTGGTGTTTATGCAAAACACACAGGTATGTCAAATATAGAAGAAACAGATCTGCAAGTGGGAAACCATTACTGGCTCTCATGTGTACTTTATAATATAATAATAAGTAGATGTAGTATGATTGCCAATGAGACAACTCCACTAGAGACCAAATTACTTAAAAGTTAACAACTATAGGTCACCGTACAGCCTTCAACAATGAACAAAATCCATATGGCATAGTAAGCTATAAAATAACACGAAATGAAAAATGTTAAACAATTCAATTGAGAAAACTAACAGCATGATTTATGTACAAAACAATTATGATATACAGCAACAAACAACAACCACTGAATTAAAGGCTCCTGAATTGGAACAGGCACATACAGAATGTGGCGGGGCTAAACGTGTTTGCTGGCGCCAAACACTCCCCCTACTATAAGCATTCATTTTAATGTGACATAAAGAGTGAAATGTTTCAGTGTTCCAGCTTGAATCTCAGGGCAGAAGGGTGCTAGTTGTCTGAAAGGGCACTTTAGCGTTATAACCCAGATTTTAAGGGCACTGTTGGACAGTGTATAAAGTAACCTTGAATATTGCTAGGCTCAGCTGGAGAACATTAGTTGTATTTAAACCATATTCAGAAATTAATGTGTTCTTGATGTTGGTTCCAGTAAGAATTTTTTTTTATCAAATTATCATACCATGAAGCAAAGCATATCATTTTGATGTTAATCTAAACAAACTTGTACATTTGGTAAGGAAAATAATCATCAGAAATTTCAATGTTTTATAACTTATACCTGTGAGTCTATAAAAATTAACAAGTAGTTTATAAAGATGGAGTTATACATGCAAAATTGAATGTTTAATGTAATTAAATTATCTACATTTAAATTACTTGTTCAAACATATAGTTTTATACCGGAAAGCCCATTTTTGTGTATTCTGTTGTGGGTTAGTTTTGTCTGCATAATGCATCAAAGAAAGATTGGATAATTAATTTTGTAGTTTGGTATACAGAATTAGTAGATATTGATTTGACATGAACAATTCTTGTTTATCCTTTTACATTTTAAAGAAAGTTCTTTGGCACTTGTTTATATGTTAGCCTCTGTACCTATGAATGAAAAAAAGGAAATGGGAGACAACTCCATTTGATCTGGGCTAAAAACCGAAATTTTAGTACACTGTGTAAAGGATTATTTAAAATTTTTGAGGATTACCATTTTCATTGATACAATGTTGAACTTGAAAATAATTTTGATTTGTGGGTATTTATTCCATGATTCTTGAATTTATTCACGATTTTTTTCATGAAAAAGAAAAAATTCTCAATTACCTATCTTGTCAAGCTGCATTTGTATATTAGGGTATACATGTATAAAAACTTACTTGTATAAGAGTGAATTTAAGAAAAAAGAATGATTTTTTCTTATTTTTTCTCACTCTTTCTGATACTAGCTTAAACTGTTTCCAGGTTGTAGGGGAACAATTTCCCTTTTAAATGGCAAATTACAGAAAAAGTCAGTTGGTGGTACTTTTAAGGACAACTAGGATGGGAATCTAGGAAGTGTTTCTTCATTGTTAACTCAAAGATTCTAAACAACTTGTAATGAGGATTTTTTTATTTCAGTTATATTAGATGCGCCAGATACAGTGTTGATTGAAAGAGCCCAAGGTAAAAGGATTGATCCAAAGACAGGAGATATTTACCATACTACATTTGATTTACCTACAAATCCTGAGATCCAGGGACGTCTAGAAGAAGTTCCAGGTTACAAAGAGGAAGAAATGGTACAAAAACTGATAGAATATCATCGCCATATTGATGGAGTACTAGATTGTTACCAGAAGACAGTAAAAACTATCAATGCTGATCAACCTAAAGCAGATGTCTTCTCACAAGGTATGTTAACTATTAATTGATCATATGATATAAATTTTTTTTAAACTTGAACAAAATATGTTAGTTATCTCAGTAGGTCTTCTTTTGTTTTGCTTATGTATAACCAACATCTAATTACATTACATAATATTAACCTTCCATATTTTAACGGAAAACAGGAACATTATTTTCCTTTAAATGTACTTGTTGAAGATGTGGTTTTTAAGGTGATATAGTTAAATGTAGTATTAACAGTAATTAATGTTGCACATTGCTCTTGACATTTAAATGACGTCAAGATGTTGAGCTATACTTTTTGCTACCGCTTTCAATTTTATAATTTTCAAAGTAATTTATTTAATATATTGCCTTGTCAGCATAATGCTTGTACTTAACTATTTAAAGTTTTAGATGTTTAGTTCATGATTTTAATTACTATCAAACTGAGTAAACAAATTCACATATACATTTTTTAAATTGACAGCTGTAACATATGTCACATGAGTATGACTTTACAAGGCTTGATTAATTAACTTTATATTTTCAGTATACACATATCTATGTAGAAACCCTAGATCTAATGCACCACACACCCCAAGGATTGTATTACTGGGGCCTACAGGATCAGGGAAAGGTGTCCAAGCAGCTCTCCTGGCCAATAAATATAACATTGTTAATGGTATGTATTTGACAGGTTGAACTCAAAGTACAGTATTATTAACATGAACTGCCTATGATGATGATAAAATGAATGGTGTGCATGTTTGTATGCTTTGACGGCATCTTTGAACGTCTGAGTTAATTCAGACTTAATGGGAAATGATTCAAGCAGACCCATGTATCTTGTGATTAATTGACCAATTGAACCCTAGCACATTTTATTTCATTTAATTCATTTTTTTTCTCCAGTAACTCAGTGTAATACAGGAGTGGATGAAACAAACAATAATACATTTTTAGATCAAATTACTTTGTCTTTTCCAGTACAAAAATATACTGTGTGGATAGTCTGTTGTATTTGAACAAAGTTTTGTATGTTTTCAGTATCATGTGGACAGTTGGTGAAACAGTCCATAGCAGATGAAACTGACCAAGGAAAGGCTTCTATTCCTTATGTGGACAAAGATATGATGGGTGAGAAACATTTATAGAAATACCTCAGAAAGTCCTTAGGGAAAATGTTTTTCCTGATCATGAATCTTCAATATGATCAAGACATAAGCCATGTTTGGAATTTTAAACTACTTTGAACTCTGAATGTCCACTTTTACACATGTATATTCTTAACATGACAAAAGAACAAAATCTGTAATATATTTGAACAAGAAAGGATAAAAATGTACTAGTACAAAATTGAATTACTGTCAGATTTTCATTATGAAAAAGAATGCCCATAATTGTAGCGACTAGTATTTAACCTGCACCATAGTTTGGACTTAAATATTCTGCTTCTTTACATGCCTATAAGATGAATTTTTTAAAACACTTTTCTGCACTCAATAGAATATTAGATAAACAAACTTGAATACTGTAACAGTAAAAAATGACCATTTTGATAGTTAAAATTCAGTGTTAAAATTATTTCCTAGACATACTAGAAATAATTGGCAGCTAAAGATTTGCATAAATATTGTTATTTTAAAATTTTATGGATTGTCTTACCAAAACATTAGTTTTCTTCTCTTTTGAATTTCTTGAATAGCTTATACCACACGATTAAATATAAATTAATCTGTTTTTGTATATGTTTTAGATAATTCCATGTACTATAAACATTGTTAGACTGTCGTTAGGTTATCTTCTTATGTAAAACAGAAATATTTTGTTCTTTTAGTGCCAGATACAATTGTACAGAAAATAGTGAGCAATAGATTGTCCCAGCTCGACTGTGTCAGTAGGGGATGGGTGCTACATGGTTACCCCAGGACCAGAGAACAGGGAGAAATGCTTGCTAAAGAAGGATTTCTTCCTAACAGGTAAGGCCCTAATACTAGGAACTCTCCCAGTTGTACATGCACATGTTTACTCATAAACTATAAGTTCTTGAGAAAAGTTAACATAAAAAGACATCTCCTCGACAGGTTTTAGAATTAGAGAGATTAAATAAGCTATTCAATGTTCATGTAAAATTTCTGAAGCTATACTGAATGAAACATAAAAAATTATACACAGATAAAACTTCAAATACCCAAAAATAGTTTATTACATTAACTAATTATTTTCATATCGACATCACTGTAAAAATAATCCAATCATATGTGGGGATATTACAATATATACTGATCAAATAATATTTGAACCATTAATAAAAGCCATAACAATAACAAAATATTTGTAGAGTAGAAAAAGTCTCAGTAAGAATTAGAGTTTATGATGACATTACTTTTATTCCAGAATGTTTTTCCTCAATGTGCCCAATGATTCAGTGATAGAGAGATTAACATTACGGTCCACCGATCCAATCACAGGAGACAGATATCACAGCCTATACAATCCTCCACGGACACAGGAAGTCAAAGATCGTCTGTCTAAACATACGAAAGATGAGGAAAGCAAGGTGAAGTCCAGGTTATCACAATATCATGCCTATGTAGAGGAGTTAGCAGATTTATATACACAAGGACAACAAATTAATGCTGACCAAGACCCACATACAGTGTTTGAATGTATTGAAAGTATGATTGTCAATCCACTGCCGAAAAAGTTTATGTGAAATTGGACAAACAAGCAATTCTGTGATATTTATTTGACAAGTTATGTTACAATTGATGTTAACTTTATAAAATTCTATCTTGTAATAAGATGTTTCAATGTCATCTTGACTTGCATGTTAAAATGATGGATTATTACACTTTATACAGCATGAAATAGCAAGGAAAGTCTAAATTGCAAGAACAATAAGATACTTGGATATAAACAATTAATTTTACGCTATATTTATAAACGACAACATTGTTTTTATAATATTAGAAGACATAACATCATAACGTTTTGTTTCACTGCCTTGTAATGATGATTTTTCTTTTTTACAAGAGTCCTTTATGTTGAAAGCTATATTATATATGAAGAAACCATAAAATATTCAGTGGTAAATATTGCATTTATCTCAAAAATTATTTAATCAGTATATTTTATTATGGTATTTTGAGTTTATAATTCATTTATATGCCAATCAAAAATTCACAAGGTGGTTTCATATAGAAATTCCAAAATTGTATGTATTCATGAATTATGATGATGTTTCTCATTATCATCCAAACCACCTCCCTTATCTTGTGGTTGTGTGCTCATCTTGTTGGGTCAAACAAAAATCTTTTTAACTGGTATTTGCTGCTTCTCTGCCATAACTCAACTGATTAAGAACAATGACTGGTTGGCTCATAGTCATTATAATGTGCCTAACAAGAGTGATATGTCTTCCTGAGTATTGTTACCTTGTGGAACTTTATTATTTGCCAAAAAGGCTTAGTTTGTTTCTGACATTTTTTTATCAACCCGAATTGCACATTTTATATTTATATCTCTGAAAAGGTTCAAATCATAAGTAATATGCACAACATGACCTGCTTGTTGAATAACTGTATGGGAAGACAACAAAGACTCATTTTTTAACAGGAGGATTTCAACTTTCCTTCATTAAAAAAATTATTTAATTGGGTTTTAAATGACATCAAAATTCTGATAATTAAAATATATCAAATAGGCAGCTTGTATTACTTTTAACTTCTATTCATGCTTTGTTTCTGTGTATAGTGTACCTTTAAAATAAAAATTCAACCAGGATGGAAGCATGAACAAAGGAGCAATCAGACAAAAATTCTGTAGAGTAAGGGAAAACAAGTTGAACTGTGAGCTATTGATCACTAATGATACCCCACTTAAGTATTCGGTAAAAAGGGAGTTTGGATGTAAAATTGCCTCATTTGATATAGCATGCTCACATGAAGGTTGAGTCCAAATTTTAGAAACCCTTGATTTGTAGTTTCTGAAAAAAATGTGACAATAATTTCATAGATGGCCATTATGTGAAAGAATATGCAAGTATTCGGTAAACAGGATATTGATGAGAGATGAAACTGACAGCCCATAATACAGTATAGCACTCTCAAATGAAGCCTATAACTAAATTTCAAGAAGCTCTGATTTATAGTTCCTGAGAAAAATGTGACCATATTTTTTGGGACAAATGTACTGACAGAAACACCAAAGGACAGGCAGATGTAAACCTCCTCCTTCTGTATAAATATCAAAATGACTGATCCATTAGTTGTTTATACTATGTAACATTTATTGTGTATATAAGGAAGCAGCAAAAACAATATCCCTTTTAACCATAGAAGAGGCTTCCTCCATTTTCTGATAAAGGACAGGATCTCCAATAATTCTGGCAGCATTCCTGACGTCTCTTAATGTTTCATTCAGTCGCTGTATACATCTCACAATTATTCCTTCTTGCACATCTGTTAAATTTGTTATTTCAGAAAAGGGCTGCAAAATAACAAAAGTTCATTAGGGTTTTAAGGAAACCTACATTTCAACAAAATGTATAAAGTCATAGCTATATATAGTAAATCATTGAAATCAGTCTGTATTCTATTGTTCATTTGACCTCTTTGTTACATTGAATGAAATATACCTTTGGTGGTGTTTTGATATAAGTGTGTGACTTCAATGAAAATTTACCTTTTTGCCTCTAAAATGGTAAAAATCAGCAGTTTTTTGTAAATTAACAAGCACAGGTACCACACAATAATTTACATTTTCTGAAGTTTATTTAATAATATATATCCAATTTTAAGGGAAATATACCCATATGTTAATACTTAAACATCCTCTAAAAGTCATATTTCACATTATTTGTTTTGAAATAGGTGGATAATGAACAAAAATTCAAGTGCTTCTAATGAATACAAGGACATGCTAGTCTTTTTACTTATGTGTATTTGGCTGATTCTGTTCTATCTATAAACATATCAACAGCTAAAATTTACTCCTTCAATTCATAAAACAAAGTTACATTGAATAAGAAATAAAAATTGTGCAAATTATTTACCAATCCTCTTGCCCATTCAAATACAACCTCCATCAAATTAAATTTGAATTCTTCTTCATAGTCTATGGGAGCTTGTATTCCAAACTGTCTCTGGAGAGAGTCAATCTTCCTGGCAATACCAAGGATCTTTTCTTTCCCCTGTAAACAATCTAATTACGTTAATCATGTCAAGCATATATTATTAAAATTTCAAATATTTAGTTATACTAGATGTCCATATATAAAAAAAAATATTGCCATCAATAGGAATCTTCATGACCAAACAGACGTGAGAGACTAGTATAAATGTTCATGATTTCATCAAATAAAATGCTTACAACTTTATTGATATACACCTACATCACAATGTTATATAAAAGGCATATTCTAAGTGAACAAATTGAGTATTTAACTGCTACAATTGATTTCTTGATACAAAAGATGTCACCTTGACAAGACTATTTAATAAAAACCAATCTCACCTGTACAAGGGTATCAATTAGTTTTGGTTCAGAGGCTCTCTTCTGTTCAAACACAACACATGACATTAACGCAGCAATCTCTGTTGGATGTAACTCGGTCAAGGCATTCTCAAACACTAATTCTGTAATCATCAGTTCATGTGTACTGATCTCACAAGCCACACGACCTTTCAATTGAACTGCATTATGTTCATCTATGTAGTTCAAAGATTTTAGCACCTAAAAACAATATCTCAAAAATATCAATACAAATAAAAATTCTTTTTAAAACAAGCACAATATTTTTGCATGTTTAACCTTAGTTAAAGGTGGTAAAAGCTGTTTCCCAGTTTTCATAAGTGTGTTTTCATTTTGAAAGGCCCTTCTAGCAAAAAGGTAAATAATGCCATGTTCAAGTAGAAGTACAAGGGTTACAAGCTTGGAAAATTAAAACTGGCCATCATGAATTCTGCCCCACGCTTAGCTGATTATGCAGACTCATTGCTTGCCTGCCAGTGCTTTACCTTCTAGATATTTCTGTTTTATAGTAAGGCCATTTACAATTATACAAGTTAGTACATTAATACCTCAATTCTCTGTTGATATTCTGGAAGCAGCATCAAACTTTCATCTGACAGCAGAAATTTGAGATGTCTGTATTTGTTCTTTAATTCCATGTTACTGCTGTGTTCAGCAAACTGAAGCAGAGATTGACTGTTTAACATTCAATTTTTGTGTGTTAAAATTTTCAGTTATCCTGGTCTACTTTAGTTAACACATTAACCATAGTTAATATAATTGGTTTATAGTGTGACTAATATGTCGAAACTCATCATAATTTTTTTGAATCAATAGAACAACAAAAAATTATCATAAATTTTCCATAAAAGTTAATCAACCAGAAAAGAACACAAGCTTGATCTATAAGTCATCATCATAAATTAAAAAGTAAGTTCAAGATCTGCCAGTTTTAGAGAGAATAATGAGGATTACTATTTGATTTCAGATGGTTGTTAGGACAGAAATGGGTAACACAAAATATACCCCTGTAGCATAGTGGTAGGGGCATAAATATGAAGAAAAGTAACTTCTAAGACTTAATAAAAAGTGATTTCTATAAAGCTTTTTACCCTTATAATATTCATAAAGCAATTTTAGGTACAGGTAGAAAAAACTTTCCGAAAATACACTGGGTTTGCTTATCTAAATGTCTGTCATAGCATTTATAAATCAGTTGTAGAGGTGAAATAGATTAAAGGAAACTTACATGCTCTTGAAATCTTGGACAGTTTATACATTGAAACGATATAAATGTCTGCTCCATAGCCTGTACAGATCTAAATTGTTCTACTAATTCAATGTCTCTGATATGTAAATCTTTAACAGGGTCTAGTCCTGCTAGGCCATCAGAATTAGTTTCTGTTAAGCGTAATAATTCTTGTGTTGCTATAGAAACTGACTGACCTGGTGGATCATCTCTAAATAAAAAAAGTAATCAAAATTATCTAACATGGAATGAATTTCAATTAAACACAACATCAGAAAACTAAGGATACTGTTTCAATACAAAACCTTAACTGTGTTACAGCCCTAGGATGGTGTAAACTTCCCAAAATAACGTGTATGGTGTAATGGTGTATGGCATATGGTGCAATGGTAGAAGGTGTATGGTGTAAGGGGAATGGTGTAATGGTGTATGAGGAATGGTGTGATTGTGTAACGTGCGATCGGGAATGGTGTGAATGAATGGTGTACGACATTTCATTGGTTGAAACCGAAGTTCATTTTATTTTGATTTTTCGGATTGTAAACATAAACAATAATAATAATCCTATTGTTCTTTTTTCCCAGTAAAGCAAATTACTTTACTCGTTAGACTCTATGTCATATATATTTAATATACACATATTAAAAAATCTTTTTTTTTTCATATTCTTATTTACATTAAACAATGGCTTTAAAATTACACACTTGTGATCACATGCAGTTATCATAAAAGAAAGGATTTTATTTAAACTAGAAGGCGGATAGAAAGGTTATCCACCCATCGGAACAGTATTTTTATATCACGGGTTATCAACATCATTTTTAAAGTTGCTTCGTTCCCCACTTTTGACAGTCTCTTTATAAATATCTTATCGTCATTCACCTATGTTTGCCTTGGATTTACGATTCTGTTTTCCAAAAAATGTTCAAAGGAAAATTGTACAGTGTTATTGCACATAAGGTGTTGTATAATTATGAACAATCTCGTCAATTTCGTTAGATTTGTCTTTACGGATTATAAATGATATCTTGAACGTCCGAAAAAATATACTTATGTGAAACGGAATGAAATATTTGCCACTTGATATTTAGCAACCAACAAAATCAACCAACCGACATAATATACTAACAGTATACTTTTCCTAGAAGAGAACTTCTCATACTTTTCATTATAAAGTACAAATGAAATCTGTCATGTCAGTCACACTGTTGGATGATGAGGTGGAATAGTTTTATTATACAAACCATCCTGAACTACTGAGTTTAAATCATCACACCTCAGCAAGCACGACTAATTTATGCGCAGACCAACCCATCACACAATAGCCCAAAAGGAATCTGTGATGTACTCGTCCATTTTCAGAAGTCATGGAAGTGGGAAATACAGATACTGATACTTTAGTGACAGTTTTATATAACGAATACAGAGATGAAATGCTGGCACTCTAAATTAAAGGGGACAAGATTTTGTTATCATTGTATTGCAATGTTGCTGTCATTTGTATTATACAATCCATCCTGACATCAAAATATTGCTGATTTACTATGCGGCTGCCGCTACATGTATATAGATTTACATAATAAAGTGCAAATATGGTCAGTTTTGTTTGATACTTTAAAATAGTTTTGTTATACGAGTCAGCCTGAGGTATCAAAACTATTGAAATTTTCTTGCGAGACAATATTTTTAATAAAAAGAGGACATGCTGGCTATCTAGATTGATGGGGACAAATTTTTGTTGTCATTGTATTGCAATGTTGCTGTCATTTGTATTATACAATCCATCCTCACATCAAAATATTGCTGATTTACTTTGCGGCTATATGCTGATTTACTATGCGGCTATATAGATTTACATACATGACATAATAAAGTGCTAATATGATCAGTTTTGGCTGATGCTTTAAAATAATTTTGTTATACAAGTCAGCCTGAGGTATCAAAACTACTAAAATTTTCATGCGAGACAATATTTTGAATAAAAAGAGGACATGCTGGCTATCTACATGTAGATTGATGGGGACAAATTTTTGTTGTCATTGTGTTGCAATGTTGCTGTCATTTAATTTGTATAATGCAATCCATTCTGACATCAAAATATTGTTGTTTACTATGCGGCTATATAGATTTACATAATAAAGTGCAAATATGGTCAGTTTTGGTTGATTCGTTTAAATAATTTTGTTATACGAGTCAGCCTGAGGTATCAAAACTACTGAAATTTTGTTGCGAGACAATATTTTGAATAAAAAGAGGACATGCTGGCTATCTAGATTGATGGGAACAAATTGTTGTTGTCATTGTATTGCAATGTTGCTGTCATTTGTATTATACAATCCATCCTGACATCAAAATATTGCTGATTTACTATGTGGCTATATAGATATACATAATAATGTGCAAATATGGTCAGTTTTTGTTGATGCGTTTAAATAATTTTGTTATACTAGTCAGCCTTAGGTATTAAAATTACTGAAATTTTGTTGCGAGACAATATTTTGAATAAAAAGAGGACATGCTGGCAATCTAAATTGATGGGGATAATTTTTGTTGTCATTGTGTTGCAATGTTGCTGTCATTTGTATTATACAATCAATTCTGACAATAAAATATAGCTGCTTTACTATGTGGCTATATAGATATACATAATATTAAAAGTGCAAATATGGTCAGTTTTGGTTGATGCTGTAAAATAATTTTGTTATACAAGTCAGCCTGAGGTATCAAATCTACTGAAATTTTCTTAAGAGACAATATTTTGAATAAAAAGAGGACATGCTGGCTATCTACATGTAGATTGATGGGGACAAATTTTTGTTGTCATTGTGTTGCAATGTTGCTGTCATTTAATTTGTATAATGCAATCCATTCTGACATCAAAATATTGTTGTTTACTATGCGGCTATATAGATTTACATAATAAAGTGCAAATATGGTCAGTTTTGGTTGATTCGTTTAAATAATTTTGTTATACGAGTCAGCCTGAGGTATCAAAACTACTGAAATTTTGTTGCGAGACAATATTTTGAATAAAAAGAGGACATGCTGGCTATCTAGATTGATGGGAACAAATTGTTGTTGTCATTGTATTGCAATGTTGCTGTCATTTGTATTATACAATCCATCCTGACATCAAAATATTGCTGATTTACTATGTGGCTATATAGATATACATAATAATGTGCAAATATGGTCAGTTTTTGTTGATGCGTTTAAATAATTTTGTTATACTAGTCAGCCTTAGGTATTAAAATTACTGAAATTTTGTTGCGAGACAATATTTTGAATAAAAAGAGGACATGCTGGCAATCTAAATTGATGGGGATAATTTTTGTTGTCATTGTGTTGCAATGTTGCTGTCATTTGTATTATACAATCAATTCTGACAATAAAATATAGCTGCTTTACTATGTGGCTATATAGATATACATAATATTAAAAGTGCAAATATGGTCAGTTTTGGTTGATGCTGTAAAATAATTTTGTTATACAAGTCAGCCTGAGGTATCAAATCTACTGAAATTTTCTTAAGAGACAATATTTTGAATAAAAAGAGGACATGCTGGCTATCTAGATTGATGGGGACAAATTTTTGTTGTCATTGTATTGCAATGTTGCTGTCATTTGTATTATACAATCCATCCTGACATCAAAATATTGCTGATTTACTATGCGGCTATATAGATTTACATAATAAAGTGCAAATATGGTCAGTTTTGGTTGATACTTTGAAATAGTTTTGTTATATGAGTCAGCCTGAGGTATCAAAACTATTGAAATTTTCTTGCGACACAATATTTTGAATAAAAAGAGGACATGCTGGCAATCTAGATTGATGGGGACAAATTTTTGTTGTCATTGTGTTGCAATGTTGCTGTCATTTGTATTATGCAATCCATTCTGACAACAAAATATTGCTGATTTACTATGCGGCTATATTGATTTACATAATAAAATGCAAATATGGTCAGTTTTGGTTGATTTGTTTAAATAATTTTGTTATACAAGTCAGCCTGAGGTATCAAAACTACTGAAATTTTGTTGTGTGACAATATTTTGAATAAAAAGAGGACATGCTGGCTATCTAGATTGATGGGAATAAATTCTTGTTGTCATTGTATTGCAATGTTGCTGTCATTTGTATTATACAATCCATCCTGACATCAAAATATTGCTGATTTACTATGTGGCTATATAGATATACATAATAATGTGCAAATATGGTCAGTTTTTGTTGATGAGTTTCAATAATTTTGTTATACTAGTCAGCCTTAGGTATCAAAATTACTGAAATTTTGTTGCGAGACAATATTTTGAATAAAAAGAGGACATGCTGGCAATCTAAATTGATGGGGATAATTTTTGATGTCATTGTGTTGCAATGTTGCTGTCATTTGTATTATACAATCCATTCTGACAATAAAATATAGCTGCTTTACTATGTGGCTATATAGATATACATAATATTAAAAGTGCAAATATGGTCAGTTTTGGTTGATGCTGTAAAATAATTTTGTTATACAAGTCAGCCTGAGGTATCAAAACTACTGAAATTTTTTTACGAGACAATATTTTGAATAAAAAGAGGACATGCTGGCTATCTAGATTGATGGGGACAAATTTTTGTTGTCATTGTATTGCAATGTTGCTGTCATTTGTATTATACAATCCATCCTGACATCAAAATATTGCTGATTTACTATGCGGCTATATAGATTTACATAATAAAGTGCAAATATGGTCAGTTTTGGTTGATACTTTAAAATAGTTTTGTTATATGAGTCAGCCTGAGGTATCAAAACTACTGAAATTTTCTTGTGACACAATATTTTGAATAAAAAGAGGACATGCTGGCAATCTAGATTGATGGGGACAAATTTTTGTTGTCATTGTGTTGCAATGTTGCTGTCATTTGTATAATGCAATCCATTCTGACAACAAAATATTGCTGATTTACTATGCGGCTATATAGATTTACATAATAATAAAATGCAAATATGGTCAGTTTTGGTTGATTCGTTTAAATAATTTTGTTATACGAGTCAGCCTGAAGTATCAAAACTACTTAAATTTTGTTGCGAGACAATATTTTGAATAAAAAGAGGACATGCTGGCTATCTAGATTGATGGGGTTAAATTTTTGTTGTCATTGTATTGCAATGTTGCTGTCATTTGTATTATACAATCCATCCTGACATCAAAATATTGCTG